TATCCTCATGAGAAAAATCCTGTTTYGCAGAACAGTAGAAATCTGCATTAAAAAAATACTGTGGGTTTATTAAAGCTTGATTATTTCACAAGTTGTCTGGGGTAAATGTAGTATTTCCAAATTATCAAAAAAAAAAAGCTTTTGTTTTGCTTACCAATGTGTATTAAGCTTCAGAAAAATCACAGTTATGTCTATTGCAAATAAACTAATAAAATTCCAGAGCATTCACCACACAGACTCAGGAGAAGAAACTTCCAGATATCCTTGGGTTTACATCAGTTTGACTGTTGATAACAAACCTAGAGATATTTCTCTATATATAATTGCCTCTCAAATACTTAAAGACCTTTTCATAGCCATAAAAACAGCCAGATTAGATTAACAGGTTCTGATGTTCATTTCAACATTGACTTTATTAATAGTTCAATGAGCATTAAACTGTTTTGTTGTGCCTGACTGAATATTAAATCACTATCTGCAAACCAGGTCACTTATAGCAATGCTGCATCATGAGACAATTTCTCCAATGTTCCTCTAAACTTTTTTTATTATTCTGGATTTCTGCAATGGAAATGCTTTTATCCCAAAGAGATCAATGGGTGAATCATTTYCTGCATCAACACAGGAAGGCTTGATGGTTAGAAATTCAGTCAATAAGCACTGTTATGCTTAAGCATTRTTATCAATATGTTCAATTTAAATGAAGCAGAACTGATAGCATTCAGTCACTAACATCAGTAATTGGATGACTCAAATGACAAATAACAAACAGTTTTTAATGTAGAAAAAAGTAAGTAGTAAGCTAAACTGAACATTTCTCATTGACATATGAAATAAACTGAAAATGTTCCAAAGTTCATTCTAAGTTTTCTAAATCTTTTTTTTTTTTTTTTTTTGCATGGCAAAAATCTTTTGCATTATTTCTAGCATCAGTAATATGTGCTTTCTTTGGTAAACAGAAAGAAAATACCTTGGCAATTCCAAACTAATGTATTGTACATTCTAACTGAAATCTGTGTTATTCTAATGTAACTTTCTATCCATTAGTGACTCACATTTGAAGTGAAATAAGTGATGCCAAACTCACAAAGCAGACAGTTATCATCAGGAAGGATATTAAACAAGTAACTTTACTTTCAGGCTGCAACCACACTCCAAAGTAATGTGAACTAACAGATGCAAAAGCTTCCCCCACTATGTCAATCTCACTAAAAAATGTTACCAAGAAAGTAAGTCATGATTTGAAAAGTGGCACTGTAAAGTATCTAGATTTAAATACTTCACTATCCTTGCAACAACCACAAAAATTGGATTTGACAGTAGAAAGTGAGAAAAAGGTATTGAAGTTGTGRCCAAATTTACACAAACACTACATAAACTACTGTAGTATTTCAAACAACACTTTTTAAATTATACTGTAATATTGGTACATATTAGCTAAGAAATATGAAGTCTTTTATTCTTCCTCGAAAGAGTGGATGATTTTTATGKGAACTCGCTTCCTCAGAACATAAATTAGGTTTTAGTGATGCCAGACTATTGGACTCAATACAGTATGACTGGATGAAATGGATAATTGAGACAGATACAGTTGATTTAGGAGGTCTGCTTCTCTCCTCTGGTTGCAAATGGGCACAACAGTCAAAATCTCCCTACATTAAGGGTCTCCTGCTCAGGGTTTAAGTGAGGCTTAGGGAGAGCTCTCTTATGAACCGGTGGGCACAGATGTGCTCACAGGAAAGCACCATCTGGTAACACAGAATTAGTGGCCATTGATTTCGAGAGACCGACAGGATTTTCTGACGTGCACCTTGCCTTGCTGCAATGGATCACTGTTTATTTTAAAAAGAGAATTATCACTCGTGCCCCAAATCTCCTCCATTTTTACCAGAAGATATGACATTAGAATTTAGAATTAGAATGAATTTTAAAACATCCAGAATGCTGCAAATTTAAAACACTCAGGACATGCTGCTACCTCCAACAAAGAATTAGCACCCTCATACTGAAATCTGTAAACTGGAAGACATAGCAGTGAAATAAGATCTTGCAGACTTAAAACAGATTAAGTATTTTATTGATGATACTAAGTTTGTGTAGAATAACTATATATCTAAAATCCCATRTAATTATTTTTCATCTAAAGCTGTRGGAAATTTGTGCTAAATTACTTGTCTTAATAAAGAAAAAAAATAAAATTACCAGGAAAGTCAAATATTAATATTCTCCAACAAGGAAGCAAYGCAAAACAATTCCAACAAAAATGACAGAATGTTCCAAGTTAGTTTGAAAATGGGGTAAAAGACTAACCTTTCTCCAACTATTTTAAGTTCTCCCAGGAATCATCATCAAACAGTAATTTAATATACTAATGCTAAAAACATTCCTACAGAAATGTCCAAGGAAAGCCAGAAGAAACAAAAAATACTGAAAACTRTGCCACAAGTTTTAGATCTTAGGCTTTTTTTCTTATCTTACTGTTTTGAAAACAGTCATGAATTAGCTCAAAACACYCCGAAAAGGTCATGAATAACAGCCTCCACTTGGATCAAAAACTGGATCATCTACAAGTGATCGGCTGCTGGAATGGCAGAGAACATCATCCATGGACAATGTCAAAGCCGGAGGTGGGAACAGCAAGACTAATAGACATGGATACAAGGGAAGGTSTTGTCATTGACAGTCTTCACTTAAGATCTTAAGATCTGCAAAATGAGCAGCAGTCTTCAAGACCAGGACACAGAGAGTCATTCCTGAACCCCACAGCTCTTCACTTCCAAACCAAGCCTGGGAAATCATCACCAGACACGTAATCCTTTGGAAGCTGAGCAGGTGAAACTGTTCAGCCCACCCAGGTTTTGGGACACCCACACAAATGAATTAATTTAGATAAAAGCACATACAAGCTTAAAGCAATTTCGTGACTGTGCAGCAATGCAGAAACTGGGGTGCAACAATGGAGCTGAAGTCTTTTTMCCGGAAGATAAAAAGTTAGGGATTGCAGCTGTGCATGTACTGTGACTTAGAACAAAGCCTTTCTTGATTTTTTTAAGATATCCTATCAGTTATACAACATCTGCTGCTTTTCTGAGACAAGCTGCTGGAATGCTAGATTTCAAGATTACTGTTAATTGCCAAGTTGCAGTTACAGTTGCACATGTTGTGTGTGCTCTCTTCTCAAAATATTGCATCTTCTTATTCATTTCATAAAGCCCTAAAAAGTTGCAAGACACAACACTAAAGATAATTGTTAAATTAACTGCATTCTCTACCAAATAAAACAAAAGCAGCCAGACTCCTCCTTTTTTGGTGTTGCTGAAAAAACAAAAACACTACTTTCAACACAGAACAGAAAGCAACTGCTGAGTAACACTGGGCTGTTACTTCGTGGATCACATTATTTGACATGGACTCTTAGGTTAAAACTGCTGAATAGTTCAACTGCAACTGGTGAGTCCACTTCCAGCCTTAAAAACAAAAAAAGGATGGATTTAATGTAAAGTGAAGTTAAAAATTACATTTTCCTTTTGCTTATCCTGTACTCCTTTGTAGGTGGCCCAAATTATTTGAGCTGGTCAAAAATTATTAAGGAAATTTGTGCTAGCAGAATGCCATATATAGACAACAACTACTGGCATGTCCAGCACCTAGACTCACTATGGAAGTGGCTGTAGACCAAGGTTAAATTTGTAGGACAAGAAAGGAATCTGCCTTCTACCACAACCCTGCAAGAACAATTCATCCTGTCCCCATTAATTAATCCTCTGCTAAATTAAGCAGGGCATTTCCACCCAGGAGTAGAGAGAGCTACATACCAAGATTTGTATGGATGGGTTACAGACTGGTTGGCTGATCTGCTGCAGATAAATGATCTTTATTTCTGAAAGAGAAGCCTGCAGGCTGCTAACTTTCACTTTTATGGCCTGCTTGATCCTACTCTGATGTTTAACATATGTCTAGCAGGAAATGAAGGTACAGGCTATGATTTATGGGGTCCAAATGCTGCAGTCAGAGCAGCATGGGCACAAGCAGGGCATGAATTCSCCTCTCCTCCATCCTGACTACTCATCTCACCCTATCTTTCTGAAGTAGAAAGAAGTCTTTAAAAAACTAAGGTTTTCAAGGCCTATTTTCAAGATTAACATTTTTACCCAATCAAAAAGGATAATATTTTCTCTGCAACTTTTTGATTTACATTTTTTCTTGTATTTTTATATATATTGTTTTGTATTTTGCATCTTGTATTGTATCTTGTATTTTTATATATATGTGTATATATATATATATATATATATGTACACACAGGCACATACACTCAAACTCATGTTTACACTCATACATAGCAAACAACAAAAGGTTGACTTATGCTCCATGGCTTTTCTTTCTCTATAGCATAGTTAAGTTTCTCAAGGCTAGACACTATTTGGTATAACACAGTATAATAAACATGTAGAAGGTATGAATAAGCAATCCTTATGGCACTGGGGAAAAATACCCTACCAATAACTTTGCACCACATTCTACTAAACGTTTTCGTTCTATAAAAGACTGATTATTTTCAGCATGACAACATTCAAAGTATTTATCCTGTGAAATCCACGTATGTGTTCCACTATTCCATGATTTATGAAGACCAGCAGATGTCAATTTCTGAATGAACAGTAACTTTCTGAATGAACAGTAACTCAGTTTGCATACACGAATCATTACATTTACCAAGTATCACACGTTTTGAAGCTGTCGTACTTGTCATCTGCAGTTACTTTCTTGAAAATAAAACAGATGACAGTTTTGTAAAAAACTTAAGCCCACTACTATGGAAGTTTGCACTGCAAAACGGATGGTTGGAATGGGACAGAGGCAAATGAGGTTGCACAAATTACGATCACTGTAAGAAAATGTAATATTTACATTGCCAACCACAGGAAGACAACATATATAAAAGTAAATTTCACCAAGACAGCAGCATGACAGCAGATGTAAGGGCAAAAGGTGCTTACCAGCTTGTGATTTGAACTGGASCAAGGCACTGTTGTATCCCAGCGTAATTAACACAGACTCTTTCCCCAAACGACAGTATTCAGTGTCTCTGTTAACCAGGCATTTAAATACACAGGCTCCATCAGCTGAAGGGAAAAAAATACTTTAGTACAAGTTAGAAAAAAAACCCCACACARATAGAAATAGATGTTTATCTTGATTAAAAATAAATGGCTTGAGCTTTTAAAGCACAAAAATTAGGGGAAATACCACTAAATTCTCTGCTATGTTGTTTCTTAAGTTGGTTTCCATAGCGACCCATAGTTTTACAAAAATCTACTCCACTTAATCATCCACAGTTCTCTCATCCTCCAAGGTTGGACAACCTAGACCATAATGAGACCTTAAATGCACAATTTTTCTGCTTCTTTTGCTGGTGAAATTCTACGTAACATGTCCCAGTAACCTCCAGGGATGCCACTCCGGCACATGGGACAGCATGGAGAAGAGTCAGCGATCAATCTGTTATGTAAAAGAGCTTGTTCCAGTGAAGCACACTGTACATTCCTGCCACTAATAAGGTGACCACATAATACAAAATGATTTTTTTTTTTTTTTTTTTTTTTTTTGGATGAAGAACGCACAGGTACATTAGAGATGGGAAGAGGGGCACCAGTGGGTAAACGTGCATATCCAACCTTGTGGAAGGGCTCCAACCTTGTGGAAGGGCTCCAACCTTGTGGAAGAGGATCCAGTATCAAAGGCTTAGGCAGTGTAATAAGTCAGTATGTGCTGTCTCATTATCAGCCTTGCATCTGTCATGAGACAAGTGCATGAGCAAACTGGACAGAATCCACATTCTCACTCCCAGAAACCTGAAACAGGCTGGGGAACCTCATGCTTATGACTGCTATGGACGTGGGCTACAAAATGCAAAGACTTCAAATAACATCTTGTTTGCATCATATATATCTTGACCACCATACGGATTCCATTTCCTTGGGCCATTCTTTGAATCATTTTAGTCAATTTAGCCCACTAAGAAGTGCTTAGTACTGCTTTTCCCATGCACATTTTATCTTTGTGAATAGAAGCGAAGAAAAATAGAAAAAAGAACAGGTAAAGGGCTTCAGGAGAATCAGAGACAGAAAGCACAAAAATTGACAGCAAAAATTAAAAAAACATACAGCAATATGCTACAGAATATCAAAGAGAAAAGCTGAAGGGAACCCAGGATGAAAGGAAAGAGCAGAGGTAAGCTGAAAAGCAAGATGTAATAAATAAATTACTAATAAACAAAAGCAGAGAAGTTCAGTAGAAATTCATCAATACATTGCTGAAACATGTTGCTTTGCTAATAGTGTTCAAAGCAGCACAGGGAGAAAGGAGAGAGCATACACAGACACATATCATATAGCTAATATAGTGCCTTTATTAAGCCTTACACTTTACCACATCTACTGCGAGGAGAAGTGAACCAAGAAAAAGGCACTGTGAGATACTATCTATCTCAAGCAAGGTTTAATTACACCAAAAAAGCGCTGTTAAGTAAGCAGCATCCCACCCAAGCTCGCTTGCTCTTCTACCTGCATCTTCCCTTGTATTTGTAGCCTTTTCTGTAATTTATGCTGGTGAAATAATTAAAGGCACACTAGTGTTTTATTTCTCCTAAAGCAAGTCTAAAGTAGCTAYGTAGCCATCTGCTTTTCCAGGTTTGTTTCACACATCAGGTACCCATAACAAGCCAGGAACAGGCCCAGCAGGCCAGGACTGAGCCCATGCACTGCCAGAAGAAGACTTGAGGCCTGTTACCAGCAGTGTTATCTGTAATAGTAATCTTTATTGGGCCACTGGGTATAAAAGTGCTTATACAGATATGTTATTATTAACGTCAGGCTCTGTCAGAGCTCCTGTGTGAGAGATAACAGGATGAACCTGCATAGTACTGAGAACCAGCTCCTGGAAGAACGTTACCCATTAGCCCTAATCTTTAAGCCTGATAAAGGAGCCAGGATTTCACATTCCTGTCAACCCAGGGCGCCATAGCATCCCAGCCTGGATTCAGGATGATGTGGAAAGCTCTCCAAAGCCTTTCTGAATGTGAGACAGTATTTCCTGCTTTCTCCCCATGCATCCCTAGTCATTTCATCACAGAAAGCAAAGCAAACAGGGCAAGGATAATTTACCTTGATACAATCATGACAGCTATTCCCACCTCCTTGTCCTATTTATTTGGAAATAGTTTCCAGGCAAATTTGTTTTCCTGTTTTCCCAAAGCAAGGCCTGAAGCCCTCCAGGGGACCATTCCTGCCCTTTTCAAGGTCAGATGCAACTCTTGCCCCTATCCCTTCTTCAGGAACCTCCCTTGATCTCGGCGACATCTCAAAGACGAGACAGATGCTTCACAATGACACAAGACACTTCTCTCAATGTAATCAGTGGGTCCCATGAATTTCTGGGGAGGGAGTTTATGAAGAGAGCTCTTTCTTCTTCAAGGTAGAAGAGAGGCCCTCTTCTCCTTGCACCGTTTTCAGGCTCTGAGGTCTAGCAAGCCTTGTTGATGAAGACTGAGGCAAAGCAGGCATTCAGTACACCTGCTCATCTGTGTCCTCTAGCACCAAATCAGCACCTCACTGAGCAGGAGGCTGAAAAATTCCTTTTTCTTTTTCTTTTTCTTTTTCTTTTTCTTTTTCTTTTTCTTTTTCTTTTTCTTTTTCTTTTTCTTTTTCTTTTTCTTTTTCTTTTTCTTTTTCTTTTTCTTTTTCTTCTTTTTCTTTTTCCTTTTCCTTTTCCTTTTCTTTCTTTTTCCAGAAGCTACTGTATTATTTATTATTTTCAATTCTGTCTGCATTTGGGCTTTCCTAACACCAACTGTTCAGGCTGGGCAGGGCTTCTAGCTTTCCCCATCGCACCCTGTCCCTGCTGCTCCTGTCCATGTTTCTTCGGCACCACAACTCAATCACGAGCAGCTCACGATAAACTCCCCATTTAGACAAAGCATCTCCTGTTTCTTCCTCACTCTTTTGAGCACCAGCTCAAAAGATGGAGCCYTTAGACATCTTTTAGTTCTCTTGAACTTGTTTACACATCCAGTTGGCCTTGCATGTGCTCCAGTTCTCCAGCTGGTCAAAGCCTGCACTCCTGAAGTCCACATGCTCAGCTCTCCTTGCCCTCTCCCCTCAACATCCTGAATTCCAATATTTCAAGATCGCTGCAAACAAAGCTGCCATTATCACTGTTCTTTTAAAATAATTATTGCTGTTTTATATTATTCTTTCAAAACTTGAAAACAAGGCTTGATCTAGCACTGCTGATACGCAGGTTATAACCAGGATTTAGTCAGTTCTTAATGTATACACACCTAGACATCTAAGAGAACCTGAATGTTGACTTTCACGATTAAAATGCCCTGATTTACCTGGAAATGATTTTCACATGCTTGACACTTCGCACAAAGAGTAAAGATAAACCACTACTTTAATTCACGTGTGAATTCCAAATATATGAAAAGAGTGTGGTTTTGGAGACCTGACAGAAAACTATGTTGGACTGAGCTGTGCCTGACAACATGGACATAAAAAATATTCAGAATGTCTGTATGCTTATCTTCAGAATGTATTTAAGAGTAATAACTCTTAATTACTGCATCTTTTTCATGGAAGATGTCTACGCACTGCAGGGCAGATTTTGTTTTCTTTTTCTAAGTCTTAATGTAGAGGTTTATTTTATTTTAATGTTAAACAGTTCAACCTTTTCATCAGATTGCACACTTCTGAGAACAACTGCTCACAGCACCTAAATAAATGCTTATTCTAAAAGTGTTAGTGAAAATAACTTCAAGAATTTTGCTGCATTAGAATAATGAAGAAGGATCTCCTTTGAATGCTGGCTGTGAAGCAAAAGTATGACAACAATTTAGTCTAAAATAATCACTATAAAGATAATGTACATTTCTTTTCAACAGCCAGCTATCCCATGTCAACCCAACCACCCCCATGTTTGAGGAAAAGAAGCAGTAATTCATTGACTTCATTAATCCTATCTATATGTTATACAAAGTACATCCCAAATGAACACACACTAAGAAGTGTAAGTATAGAACTTAATTTTCTGCAGTGAAAACTGACCACCACCCTGTGAAACATGAAAAACATTTTATCTCACAAAGGATATTGATTTCTTTCCACGGTATTAAGACAAGTGTTATCCTTTCCAAGATAGTAACACAAGTGTTATCCTTGCTTTTTTCCAACCTTCATCTGCTTTTATAAAAACTGGAGTAGCAGAAGAAAGGGAGAGGTAAAGAGAAAGTACAGTGATGAAAGCAAAACTGTACAGAACAACAAAACTGGAGACTCCTACGTGTTCTCAGTACCAATTCCCTCCATATTAACTTTTTGCATGCTATGTGCATTTTTAGAAAAATGCTGCATTCCACTATCCCACACTTCAAGCAGGACTCGGTGGCATTAAGACAGYTAACACTGCAGATTATATTATAGAGTATCCTATACCTGACATCTGGTCATTTTCATCATGCTAAGTGGTTTTGCCAAAACAAAAGGAAAAACCTTGTACCAGTACTTTCCCAGATGAAATTATTGGATGAATTGCTATGTATATTTTAAAATAAATATAAAAACATWCCTGTCCTTTTAACTTCAAAATCTATTAAACTTGAATTGCTATCCACAGTAGTATAAGGCAAAAAATGTATGTCTTAACAGAATTCTAAGAATTTGTTAACAGAAAGGACGATGGCTTACTGACACTTCAACTTCTCACTTAAATCTTCCTTTTACACTGATAATGAGTGAATTTAATGAAGGTTTCAGTGCAAGTTCTCTCACTCATTGTCTTTTGTCATATATCAGCTTCTCACTCCATTTAATATTTTATGGTTATGTCCTAAATGTGGATATTGCTCGTGCATTTCTTGATCTGTAGGGATAAGAGGGCAAGCATCCCAAGCTGAGATCTTGTTTCTTGCCAACCCATAAACTGTGTACAACAACACAGGCCTAACAAAAATTACAGCTACCATAGACAGATCCTCAGAGAACTCTCTTCACATTGACAGACAAGCAGCATAATTCTCTGTATGAACAACATGGAGCGACAGAAAAGCTTCAATCCTTGTATTCCAGTGCCAAGGCAATGAAGAGGCCAGTGTCCTGCCCTGCAGAAGTATTTGACTGACAAGGGAAAAACCAACATTATGTTTTGGTTAAAACAGAAAATAGAGCACTTCAAATTCAGTACATAGAATCAACACTGTGTTGCCATCCACATTGAATACCACAGTTCACCATAAACACCTACAATAGGCAACAACTACAGAAAATTCCTGTTTTTCTGTCACCAGGGTACTCAGGAACACTGCCGATAATTTGGCCTTTCCCCTCCTGCAGAGCACAGAAATCCTCTGCGACACCCTCAATGTTCCCATCCTCACATCTAAAATAGTTTCATACCCGTTTGCTGCAGCTGCCAAGGTCTACCTACCACCCGTAAAGTTGGTCCCGTGTTAGCTCACATATTACAGTACCTCATCAAGAACCACCTACAAAGCTAGCTTGTAAAAGGGGTCACATTTACTGTCAACAGGAGAGACAAACCCAACAGAAAAAAACTCCCATGTGAAAAAAAAACACTTACAAATGAGATTTAAATACAAAAATACACTCTGAAAAAAAATTAAAAAGAAATAGAGTCTAAAAATTGAAGCGAGTGTTATGCTATTAGGTGAGATTGTCAGATGTTATTTGCGTTTCTGAGAAAGCCCCAAATTTGAAAGCATGCCTTTAAAATTGATCAGAAATCAACATATGGATTTCTAAATATGCTTGTAACATTGAGGTGTTTTAGTTCAGGTGGAACTTTGTTCAATAAGAGCTTTACATATTAAAATGAAAACAAAAACAAAAAAAACAACATGGTGAGATACACCCCCTCCATGATTTTGTCTTGTCTCACTTCCTGAATGTCCCAAATATTGAAATAAGGCTAAAAAATAGGCAATATTGTCATCCTAGAAATGAAACTTTTCATCTGAGAATATACTTGTATTTTTAGAATTAAAAACAKAGTATGTAAACATAGCTAAATAAAGAATTTATGTTAATTTCTTCTATTTTCTACATTGAAAATTAACTTTTTTTTTTCTGTTTAAGGAACCTAAGAACACTGTGGCTTGATGCAGTCCTGAAACATGACCCTGATTTGTGAATCTGTGCATATGTGAACTGAAAAGACCCAAACAAGAACGTCTGTTCACACTGACAGACACGGGATTTGGTACATATTTTCCCAATTATTAATTGGCACATTAAGTAGCATACAAGATATTCAAGCTCAGGAGTAATGAAAATATGCTATTTTGATATATTGATTGATAATGGATAAGTCTCTGTGACTTTAGAAAAAAAACTTTAAATCAGTACAATGTAATATATTTTATTTCGAACTTGTTTAAAGATACACATAATTTTTCACACTTCCACACTAGAAAAACTGAAGACCCAAATGCCATCGTTAATCTATGACTACAAAATAGCCGATCAGAGTAGCCTTGGCTTAAGTTTGGAAGGAAAATTCAGCATTTTGGAAGAACACATTTTACTTTTAAGGAACTCATGCAAAAGCATGCAAAGCTTTTAGGTTCTGCTTCTTTTTTCAAGCCACCCATGTCCTCTGGTGCTATCATGCAGCAGTACGGATTCAGAAAACGGGCAGGATGCTGAAGGGTTTGTGGTTGGACTCGATGATCTTGAAGGTCTTTTCCAACCATAACGATGGTTTTAGCTACGATTTTAGCACCCAGTTGCCCCATCAGTGCCCTCCACCAGTCCAGGTGCCTCAAGCACAGAGGAGAAGCCCTTCCAAGCACAGAGGGGGCTTGGAATATTCCTAATTGGGAATTAATATTCTCAGAGAAAGTTCTGAGATCATTCATTCCMACATCATCTGCACAAAGGGAGAACTGTCCAGCAGACTCCTGAGCAGTCTCAATCCAGCAAAAACTCGTGACTGGGGTATGTTTTAAGCATAAAAGCTTTTGCATTGCAGCTGCATCTGGAGAGCATCGTTATCAGGCGTCTCTCTTAGCAACCCCAACCTAATGTGGGAAAACAGATCGGAGGCACCTGAATTTCCAAGCAACCCGAACAATGGTAGCGGGAGCAGCAGCGTTACTGTATTGTCTTTTCCCATGACAGTGTGTCAAAGGACTATTCTTCTACGTGTGATTTATTGGTGCTTTTTATATAAACTTTGGAACGCTATTCTCCTGCTTTAAGGCTGTTGGTTTAAAACTTTATTGGAGCTCTTATCAGGAAAAGGGAAACAACTGTGAGATTTCTTAGACTGCTGTTACTTCAATGGCAAAAATATGTTTCAAGGTTCTAAATGAACTGTAGATACAGCGATAATTGTTCAGCTCTGGTTCTAATACATTTTTAACATGTAAAATGGGTGCTAATTCAAAAGAAGTCAATACTTTCAACACAGAAATCTTCCAATTGCAGAAAATGAGGATATGTGCCTGCTTAAAACAAACTACATCAATTAAAAAATAACGGCTCCTACAAATTTTATTTTCGTAAAATGCTAAAACATGGTGAATAAATGCAAAGATGACTCAGGAGGAACAYGACATTGAAGTATGGAGAAAGCAGGGTGGGGAGCAAGGCTCCACCCAGCAATCCTGGCTGCTCACTTCCAACTGGTTCTTCTCCCCACAGCATTCACTGCATGGTGGCAGGGKGGCACAACATGCATAGCCAGCAGCTAGCCCCAAAATTAACTACTACACCATATCTTTTCTTCAGATACAGAGAGAAAAAACAATCCCCCCCTTAGTTCTTGTAATGAATACCCCTACTTCAACTCCTTGAAAAGAGCAGTGTATCATGCAATTAAAGTTCTGCCTTGAAGACTTGCCCAGCCACTCCATTTCTGTGATACTCTACCAGCTCAGAGCTGTTCATCACTGTTACTTTAGATGCAAAGTCTCTGCATGCTGCTCTGTTGAAGAGCCTAACACTACGTAAACACTACATTATACTACATTACATTTCTCTTAGTCTCAGAATGCAGATTTACTCTGTTGGTAACAAATGAACAGCATTGTCTTGCAGCAGGGAAAAAAATCCACTTGCAATGAATGAAAAAAAAAGAGAACTAATAAATGCTTGTAYTTAAAAACAGCTTAGAGAATTCACAGTATTTTTCTCTTACCTCTTCTTCTCAAATGATAAACAGGCCAAATCACTGGAGTGACAAGTTCACTTTATATCCATTTGTATATAGAGTGATGCCAGTAATCACTTGATAAATGATTATCAAGTGATTGATAAACGTTTATTTCCATTTATCTGCTTCTAAAGATGTTTAGACAGTGGTTGTTTACCCGAGAAACAGACCTACCTTGCAGAGAACCGTAACTGCACAAGGATTCCTGTTACAGAACCGAGCAATGCCTATTTGCTTTCGGCCTGCTCTTCCTCTGATTCAGGTGCCAGGCAAGATACAGAGATTCGTTACCTCAAAATGGTTTAAGGCAGTTTGAAGAACAGTGTAGCTGCAAAGTTATTCAGCTAAAATGTATATTCTGCAGAAAATGGCATTTGTCTCACAGTGACTTTCCCTGACAGAACTCTTTCAAGAACRTGGGATATAAATGATATATATACAGAAATGTCACGTTTGCATCATTTGCTGTCGCTTCACCGCAGCAGGCTCTCAACGTGCATCCCGTGGCTTATTTCTTTGCCTGATTCTTGAGGCTTTTCCCATCCCCACCGAACTAAGCGCGGCGCCAAGACCCCTCGGCCCAAGGGGCCTGCGCCTCCATGGCCAAACGTCTTCCAGAGACACCGCCTGGGCCCTGGGCCCTGTCTGCAGGGCAGCACGCTCCAAGTTAACACATAACCTGAGCTTYGAGGGCAGAGCCTCGCACCTGGAGCGCAGGAGAGCTCCGCTTTTGCCCACGAGAGCCGTCCTCGCTGCCAGGTCCAGAGTGGAAGAGCCAAGGAACCTTCCTTGCGGGATAGCGCGGCGGCGCCGAGCGGCCCGTGCCCGTTTTATGGGTACTGCTATTTATTCCCTGTGCCTCCTCGGGTGTCATGTTGCAGGGCTGATGTGAAGCACACATCCCGTTTTTAACAGCGCAACTCGGTTTATTGGACAAAAAGCTGGAGGCAGGTGGACAGGTTGGTGTTTGGAATGGGCAGTTTAACATTTTTTTTCTGATATTCAAAGCACTTCACCCACACAACTACCTTATTCCTTTGTAATACTGTTGTTATATTTAATATATTTGAAACGTATTTCCAACCTCAGGAGTATTTTAATTGCTTCACAGAGGGGTCAGTACCACAGTACCATACAGAAAACTCAGTAATCCTAACAACAGGATTCAAGAATTCTGGATTTGCTAAGTCCAGCCAAGAAAAYTGGAACGCCTTCCTACAAAATATCCCCTGCATATATGTTTGAACCTGTTATTACCCTCTCTACACACCAACAGTGCCCCACATGGATTTTGTACTCTGCTTATTTGAAAACCAAACAACTGTATGTGTAGTCAGAAGAACTAAGATGTCAAYAAAGGAATATGCGGGGAATATTCCAAAGCAATGGAAGCCCCCCGAGGGTTCACAGTGAAATTCCATTTCCTTCTTGGGATATTCCCCACAGGCGGCAGTGCAAAATGTGCAGATCCCTCTGTTGGTACAAGTCCCTATCTGCCAGAAGAGCCTGGTGCACAAGCACCTTCATCAGTGTGACGAGCCCATCACCACCTCAGCGTGGTGGGGCTGTTGGCCATCCAGATGCCTGTTAATAAACAGCTGAGATGTCCTTTCTAGGTGCAAATAACCTGATTGCAGGGATAAATTCGGGGAATTATATAGATAAATATATAAATATAGATAAATATCTATAAATTCCCTGAATTTGTATTTAAATTCCCTAATTTAAATTTATATTATAAATTCCCTGAATTTATATTCAGGAAATTTATAGATAACATGCAAAATTACTGAACATTTGAAAGAGGGAGAAAACGACTTTTAGACTTATTTATATCAGAATCTAAATATATAGCTTCAGTTTAGCTAAACACAAAGCTAAGTGCATATACACATAGCTAATAAGCATATCTAAGTACATAGCTCCAATTTTACTCAGAGTCAATAAAAGAAAATACACAGAAAATTAAAGAACATGAAAATATTATATAAAAACACACCACAAATAGTAATAAGACTGTTACTGTACTGACGTAATCACATCATGCTGCCCCGTGACAACAGAATTATGGCACTATTACTATAAAAAATCTTTATTAAAAAATTACTCAACAGTAGGACACTGATAGCCGGGGAGTTTGATGTACTCGAGACAAGTGCGGGTCTCTCCTACAAAATACCTTGCAGAACACACAACACCGTTGCTGACTAAGAAAACATTTATCTGATCCAATTTTTCAGCTGCCAATTTGTTGCTTGTGCAACACACTGATCCCTTTAAATGGTCTTGGCTGGAAAAAATAAGGCAAGGCGAAGTCACTCCAAGCTCCCGTTATGACAGTGAGAGCCTTTTCAGTAATATCAGGCCACACTGGCTTACTTACTTACTTACTTACTTAYTTAYTTAYTTATTTATTTTTGTGCACATATTTTTGGTAATTCAGTGAAATAAAACTACTCTCTTATATGCTTCCAAATAACCACCCTTCTCTCTCTACAGCAAGCCCAGAAAAGTAAACTTATTTCAGAGGTAGTAATTTCTCCCCCTTCAAGTAAAAAAAATACCCTAAACTCATTCTTAAAATATACTGTGACACTTTCTAGCCTATTCCTAAAATTAAAAAAAAAAAAACAAAAACAAACAAAAAACAAACAAACAAACAAACAAAAAAACCTTTGAGCTTCCTTTTCCTTAGCTTTGAAAATACAGAACAAGGACACCACATCTTTATTAAGACCACATCTGTCATTTGTCTGCATTCTCTATTTAGGCTGTGAATTTTTTATGAGAGAAACATTTTTTATTAAAATATATAAGCAGTGCTGCACAACAATTTGAAAGCAAATGCACACTGCTTTGGCCAGGTATTTTCACTAAAGTATGCTGTATATCTCCAACATAAAAAATAATAAGAAAAATGCAATAAGAAAACATATGCATAGTTCTTAATGGTGCCTAATTCTGCATTATAGTTCTGCATAGTACCTAATTCTGCATTATCTCTTTGTAACATGAATATTTTACATGAATATTGGATGTTCAAAGTCGTAATTTGTTAAATTAAGACTGAGCTGCAGCAAAGTTTTAAAGGAAAACGGGAGCCTCCTGATGCGCTGAGACATTAGATTTATTCCAGTCCATTAAGGATTATTAACTTACTATTGTGTAAAGAAGGGAAATACGCTGGGTCAAGTTACCAGCATACATTTAGGCTGGAGGATTCTACCCTGTTTCCTCAAGGACCTTATTTCAGAGGTTTAGCTCCTCAACCTCCTTCTTTCTTACTTGCTCAAGACAGACCTTTGAGATAGACCCTGCAGGTCAGCCCAGCTCTGACTTTTTTCCTGGAGAGCTGCATCATCAGTAACAGGGGCCAACACATACTCAGGAGCAGGGGCCATGAGCACAGCCCATAAATCCCAGGTTAATTTGCAGAAGAGATGGAGCTGGTTCGGGTGACAAACGCYGGGACACGATGACGTGTCCAGGCGAACGTGTCATCCCTGCGAGCCTAACCACGTGCCAAGGTATTTACCAAGGTCCTAGCTGACCTCTAATGCTTCCCTCCCTGCTCCTAGGGCTTCCGAGCACCTCACGGTTTTTAAAACATTTATCTTTACCACAGGGTGGACAGGCCAAGAATTTACATTATCTCCTTGTAAAGAAAAGAAAAGGAAAAAGACAGGGGGGAAAAAAAAAGAAAGAGGGAGAAAYTGGCTATATGAGTGATGCAGGCATGCAGACGTGAGGGAAGAACACAGAAATGAATCCAGGTCTCTCGGATTTCATGCCTGCCTCCCCAGGCAGGGAGCCACAGTTGTTAGATGACAGCCAGAAGCAACGTCGTGGTGTAATACGGAGCACATGGGGAGTTAAACAGAACAGTGTCACTGTAGCAGTAATAACAACAATAATCCCCAAGCAATGCAGAATCCAGGCTASTCTCCTTCAGACCTATTACAGATATAACCTACGAATTCACCTGTAAGAAGGACTTCTTCATTTTCTTCATTTGTTCATAGCTCTCTACATATATTAATAACTTCCATATATATATATAACATGCACATATGTATTTGTGTATGCACGTGCACATGCATATACTCATTAGATATAAAAAAGAAAGGCAAAGCATGCACTTAATGCAAAACTGTCACGGGTATTTATTTTCCTTTTATTTCCTTCCAGAATAAAAGGGCCATTACTGGCCTGCAAATCACTACTCATTTTAAAAGGTTTAAAGTTAGGCATGAAAGAGAGAAACTAGCACCTGGGAAATTGAGAACACTTGTGAAACTTAACTTTTGAAATTCATAAACTCAAATAACCATTAAAGTACTTGGTATGATGACATAAAGCAGTTAACAAAAGAGGTCAGATTTCCTATTTCTAATACGTTACTTGAACAATTCCTTCATACAAACTAATCTATTTTCTTAGAAGAGTTGCCTGCAGGAAAGGACCTTCAATTTCCCGTTGAAAAAGAAACAGAAAATTCTCAATTTTCTATTTTCTATTTTAAAATAGGCATGACAATTTGAAGAGATTTAAGTATATTGTTTAATGCCCTGAAAACCTTTAGGCTGCACGGAAATGCTGAAAGAAGTGGTTACAGATGACTAAAAGCTTTCAGGTCACCAGTATGTCAAGAGGCACTTGAATAGTATCTATAAACTGTGGTCTCCCTAAACTTTACTAAGCAACTTTTTTCTCYGCTAGAAAAGGAAGATTTTCATAGGAAGGAAAAGGCAGGAAAGGGAAAAAAAAGGAAAAAAAAAAGATTAGAAATGTCTGCAGAGATTGGCCTCTACCATCACACTGTTGACACCACTATTTTTGTTGTGTGCACATGAATGTCTAGCATTAAACCATACACAAGCACTCTCCATTCACAATATTGATATTTTTTCTAAGATACTTAAACCTCATATTTCTGATTTTCAGCTTGTAATTTAATTTTATTTCCTTAGTTTCCCAATGCTTTAAGATTAAAAAAACGGTCTCAGTATGGGATCGTGGGGGAAAAAAAAAGCCATGCATATAACTACAAGGTACTTCATGTGGGGAACCAAGTAGGAGCCAAACAAAAGTACATGGAGTTCATGTCTTGTGGTTAATGGCTCGTACCCATCCAGCCCTAATAGTGTTTGAAACTCACTGCCATGACTGCTGGTACCAAACAAGCCGGTAGAGCTGGACTGAATTTTCCAAGGTGTGCGGTTTTAGTTAACATCTTTATTTTGGAGCACAAATAGAACCAGTTTTCCTTCACTTCAACGTTACCTAATTTCCCCTTGTAATTTTACACCTTATAATTTTACTGAGTTGTAATTTTACTAAATTTACTAAAGACATGGATTCTAGCACTAGTATTTATGAAGAGGAGCAGATCTGCTCTGCAGCTACTGCATCTTGCAAGACATGCAGTCCTGCAGCTCGCCTGCATCTCAGCTCTTTGATCTCTGCTTCATCAGGCCCATCATCACCTGCCAAAGAGTAAGCGACAACGTTAAACAAAGAATGGAATATTAACACCTCAATCAATAATCGGGTGCCATTCCTCCTACAGTTCAATAGCTGGCACTCAGTATTGCTCACAGGCAGCTCCCTATCTTTAGGAAATACCTATGCAAAGTGTGTTAAAATCCACACTTTCACTGGGACAGTGACTTAAATTATTGATTCTTTCCAAATTCATGGTTACTGATTTAAGTTTATCCTTTCTGACCAGCATCAGTAAAAATGCGTTAAAAAAAATAGTTTAGCTCTTATATGTTAAGAAATTCACCTGTAGCTGGCTACAGRTAGCAGGTGGCTACCCTGCAAAAGCATTTACCCTACAGCCTTTTTTGTGTACGTAATACTCAAGTTTCTATTCCTTTTTTGACCTCACCTAAAATA